ATATACATTTATGTCTGCAGTTATGTACAAATCTAATGTAAATTGTGTGTGTGAGAACACATGTCCGTAAGTGAGTATGTGTGCGTATTTTAATACATTTCATGTACAGAATTCCTTCTGACAGACGCAGTTTTTAGATAATTATGCCCACATAGTTGGCAAATAATATGGGATATTGTACATACACACATCAATGGACTTTGGCTAGGTATTGGACAAAGTCTAAGTGTGGGCTACCAAAAACTAAATACGGGACATAAGAAGTTGCAGAATTAAAACGACGACGCACAAGGCGGCCTCATCTATCTAAGCTACACTATTGTATACAAACACATGCTTGTACAAATAAGAGGGTCGTATCACTTAAGTCAGTATATCTTTTCTAGCTCATTATCAACAGCCTATTTGATATAGGCATGTCCGTATGTAAGAACGCGTCGATATCAGAGAATATAGAAGCTAAAACATAAGTTTGAGAAGTAGCTCCTCTTTTCCCCTTAAATCAGTTTAATTCATAGCTGTATGTATGGAAGGAATATACAGCCTTTGCAGGGTACCACCCTCAACTAGAGTTATCTTACTTGTTTTCGATTAACTTTGGTTTTGATTTACTTTAGTATCTGAGCTAGATCAATCATCAAATATGGAAGGATTTACTCTTTAAATTGTCTTTTGTCTTACCCAAAATTGCATTTTGATGCATATATGTATTTGGATAAATAATCATAATAATATGAGTATAATAACATACGTACCTTTATCTTTGTATTTTCGAGAAAATTAAATGGTTTTGCACTCTTCCAACCGATATTTGCCCAACGGTCGTACAACCAAAATGGGCACATCCAATACTTCCACCCTCACTTTGCGCACCCTCGCAATTGCACCCGCATACAAGATGGCGGTGCGTCGGCAGTGAAAATGTATTGTAAATAGTTACAGCAGCGCAGCCTATTCTTGGCATCGGTTCTCAGTCTACGCAATTATTTATTCATAACAAATTGCATTCAAGCACGCCCATACGAACCGAACCGAACCAAAACCAAAGGAAGAAAATGGGCTTCTGATACGCATGCAGCAGGAGTTTTTATACCCTGAACCCATTAAAAATGGGTATAGGGGTATATTGTATTTGTGCAAAATCCAAATGTATGTAACAGGCAGACGGAAACATCTCCGACCGCATATATTCTTGATCAGCATCAATAGCCGAGTCGATCTAGCCATGTCTGTCTGTCCGTCCGTCCGTCTGTCCGTCGGTCCGTATGTATGAACGCAAGGATCTCAGAACCTATAAGAGCTAGAGACTTGAAATTTTAGATGTAGGTGTTCCAAGTGCCTGCGCAAATCGAGTTTGTTTCCGATAATCGATAAATTACTCCGTTTCCAAGCAATCGATAAAAATCTATATCGATATCCGGTTTTTTGGACAATTTTGGTAAATAATAAGAGCTAGAGTCACCATTCGTCACATATAGCTTCTAAAATAGAATATATTTTTGCATTTAATGTTGGAAGAAGAGGGTTCAGGGTATCCCCTAGTCGGGAGCTCCCGACTAGAACCTCTTACTTATTTTGCTTTCGAACCGTTAAACGCGCAATTAATATACCATATAATAGCTAAATATGCATAAGATATAAAGAATAATAAACTAGACATTTTTATAAATTAATTGTATATAAATATAAAATATGTATGCATAGGTATACGTATATAAAAGTTAATATACGTACTTCTCAATCTACTTAATGAGAAAATGCTTATGATATTTTTTGTTCTTAACAAACATTTCCGAAAATCATTGGCTCCAGCTTTTGGTTCCATATTTGCGTAAAGTTAAATATAAGACGTGGGAATCGAATGTAAAATGTATATCTTTTTATATACATATATTTTATACACTACTGGCGGCTGGACGGTAGGTTTACTCTTATTTGTTTGCATTCCCCTCGAACGACCGACACATTTATTTAATTCATTAACTGAAGTTGTGAAATAAAATAGAGGCTAGCAATAAGCACAAAAGCTTCCCCTAAAGGAGCGTTCGTTCGGCTGCTTAAACGGGTCACATGTGCTCGGCTCCATGCAGAAACAGAATAACTTCTGAGCCAATCTCAATCCGAACGACAAGCGGAGGCAATCCCAAAAACATGGGAGTAGAAGCTGAAGCAGGTGATGATAGTTATACAGGCGGCTTTCAGGTGCCGGCAGTCCGGCCGACAACCTTGACATAAGTTTGGCCTTGGTAGTTGCCATCACCGTCATTGAAAGCGTCATTTTTCCCATTGCTTTCGACGTTAAAGTTGTTGTAGTTATTGTTGGTTACATGGAAATACAATGATGCGGGCTCAATTGGGAATCACAGAATAATTCCACACTGTAATTTAATCAATATTTTGGTGAGATTCAAAAGCGTTTCATCTAACACCGGATACACGTCAAATAATGCATCCACACAAAATATACACACATATACAAATATACATATGTGTGTACATATTTGCCCCTATCCATATAGAGGTGTGGCTTATATGTAGGCATTAATATTAATATTTTTAGAGATATACATTCCTATGTATACACACGTCTATATATATATAAATATATACATACCATATGTATACCGCACCATGTACATATGCACCCACATGGTTGTGCAGGACCCTCGACAAACAAATGTGCAATTTCTAAGCCCACTTCTACAACCTAGCTATTGTCCCACGTATTATAGATTGCCAAATTGATTTGTGGCTGGAATTCCGCCATTTCGCAGCCAATTTTTTAACATATATAAGAATTAATATTTAATTATTCTTGCACATCGCAAATCTCCTTAATTTATTTAATTAACAAAATCTATAAAATATGTAAGAATTTGGCTATTTGTTATGATTCTCAAAAGCGAATTTTAATAACATTTCAAATAACATAAACGATTTAGAAAGTGTCTGGTCATGAGCATACTGAGGATTGGGCAGCGTCGTGAAAATATTTTTTTAATAAATTATCTCATTTATTTCTATCCGACCGTTATAAAATCACCTGTGAACCCAATAAAATATTCTTATTTTCCATAATTTTTATAATATTTTGAAAAGATTACCCTAAAATCAAAAATTATTTTCTTTTTTAAATTAAAAACACATTTCATTCTGTGTCCATTCTCTATATTTGAAAAAAAAATTAATAATTTTTTAGATCAGAAAAAAATATTTTTTTTTTAATTAAAAAAAAATGCCACACATTGAAAAGTAATGATATGAATCAGAACTTTTATTTTTTTTTTTTTTAATATAGAGAAAGCACTGTGTTATTAGTACCTCACTCTAGCTTTAACACTAGCCCTTCATATATATCTCCAAGATTGTCTAGTAATTTGGGCAAATCAATAATGTTGGGTGTCTAGCCGGCTAGCCGAAAATCGATGTCGATGCAGCTGCAATGGCAAATGATAACTAAAATGGACGTTAAGTATGTATTTGTATATGAATGCATACATACATATGTATGTAAATGATGCTATATAAATAAATATATGTACACCATCCTTATATATTCAAATACATGCATTTCTATGTATGTATGTAAGTGCATATAGTCCATACACACGCACACACGCAGTTTCATACGTGAATGCATAAGCATGTACATATATATATATATATGTATATATATATATATATATATATATATATATATGCACATATATGTATGCATGTACATAGGAGTGCAATTGCAGCGCCGTAGCAACAAGCGGAAATGCATCCTGGCTTACAAGCACACACACTCGCGCACCATAAGGCCCAAGCATTGCATAAACATAAACAGCCAGACATCAGGAGAGAGGGAGACATGGAAAGAGTAAATCATGAAAGCAAGAGAGACAGGGACAGCAAAGGCCATGAAGTAGACATTAAATCGTGCACAAATTTGCATGCCACCGACCTGGCGAGCAACAAAACAAAGGGTGAAGATGATGGGAAAGGGGTGATGGGGGCTTTTGTCAGAGCAGGCAAGGAGTTAGGGGTAGTCGTTGCAGTTCTCTGGAAAGTGAATAGGGTGGGAGCCAAATAAGGGATGTTACTGTAGAAAGTGCAGCAGGAGCTGCAGTCGAATGCAACTCGTCGGAGCATCGGCGTTGGCGTTGGCGTCGGCGAAAACTGCACTTGACACTGCACTATGCAAGTGCGTACGTGCATGTGTGTGGGTGTGTGTGTGCATTTGTGTATGTGTGTACCTGGCAATCGCGTGGAGAATGGAATGGGGCAGACAAATTTTGTGTCTCCCTTCCATAACAGCAGAGACACTACAACAATAACATCAGACATGTGGCTGGGCATCGCCTGCCAAATATGCAACTGCAACTGCAACTGTGGCTGCCGACGTTTCAACCAACGTCGATGTCAGCGTCGTCGTTAGCGTCGTCGTTAGCGTCGTCGTTAGCGTTGACGTTAGCGTTGACGTTGGCGTTTGCTCTGGCTTTTACTGTCTGTCGACTAGTCATGGTGTGCCGAAAACATTTTCCATCTACCAAAATACAGCTTAAAATCGACTTGGATTTTTAAAAATTGTTTTAAATATTATGTAAAGTCGCCACCTTGAACGGCAAAGTTACGCTTGCATAATAGGTTTGTCTAATATACCCAAGTTATTATCGGGAATAACTCGTGAAAAAAACGCATTTTAACTTTATACGTACTATGGTTTGAACCTTTAGCTGAACCAACGAACATTTTCGATGAGTTTGCAGTTATAATGGAAATTCACTACATTCTACAGGGGTATATACATTTACGACCAAATCCAAAAAGCGCATGAGGCTGCTCGCAGCGCAGACGTTGGCGCTGCCGTTGTTGACGCTGGCGCCGGCGCTGCTGCTCTCGCTGCTGCTGCCGTTTTTGTTTATCGTACACCATTTTTATCTCATAATAAGCCTACCGACCGCTGCGCTCCTCGACCTGGACGCACTTCGACACATCCATATCGACGCCGCTTTTTTCAGTAACAGCAGCCAACTTTTATTCTCTATTATTTCCTTGTCGTATTCAAAAACGCAATAGTCTATGGAGTAGAACAGCCGACTGCGGATCGCCGAGACCTCGCGGAGCATTTTTATTTCTCAAACGTGAATACCTTGTCCTTGTGCAACAAAAAAAAAAAAAAAAAAAAAAAAAACAATACGAAAAATTCTAAGAAAATTTTATTTTGTTTTAATTCAAACAGAACCCGCACTAATTCACTCTTCACTTTACTTAGCAACCATCACTGCACCAAATTTTTTCCCAAATATATCCATATTGTTTCTAAAACACTCTAGTACTGATCGAATTTTACTTTTCACTCTGATTTCAGATCATCATAATTTTAACAAAAACAATAGACCAAAAACGTTTTCAAACCAAATTTGCTGACCAGATGCAAATAACAATAGAACTTCATGCCAACTTAACCATAATTCAGTTTGAAAAGCAATAGAACGGACACAGTTAAAACAATTTATTTACTTACATAAATATTTATAAAACACCAATCTCAACCTGAGTAAACCACAAAATTAAAAGATAACTAAATTCAAAAACAACAATCCTAAAATTCTTCGATAATCGTCACTTTAACCAAATGAAACCAACAAACAAATATGTGAACATGACTTGTTTAGTAATTATTAAAGTATTGCAAAATTGGAATCAAAAGTACAAAGCTAAAGTATATAAGCGAAACGAAACGAACACATAATTTTGATAACGAAATAAACTGAAAAAACCGATTCACACAACAAGGGTATAGAAAAAATAAAATTATTGTGTTTATATCTATCAATCAGACTGCGAGCCTGCTAAGAACTAATAAAAAAAAATAAATTTAATGTGAAAATTACTGCAACAGAAGTTTAACAAATTTAAAGAGCAAAACATAAATGAACCACCCAACAACTAACGTAAAGTCAACCCATTTTTATATACCTACCCAAGCAAATAAGAAAACCCATAATATCCATAATATCCATAAGGCCGTTTATAATTTACTTTTATTTTAATTTTTATTCTGTATTCGTTTTGATAAGAACCATCCATTCTCCAGATCTCTTATAGATATCAGAGTAGAACAAAGTTGCAGGCGATCATTGAACTAGGCAAAACAAACTTAGCTTTAGAAAAATGAATTAAGATTTGATTAAAAGGTCTCCCAATCGCAAGATAATTATTGTGCGAAGCCCAACGATCAGCATCAAAATACTTTCATTGTATGCTTATCGGAAACACACTGACACCGGAACAGACAGTTTAGAATACCACATACCATATAGCTAGTATTTACTCACATACGAACATATACAAACACACGCATTCCTAGCAGACAGCAAAGTCAAATATAGTTATACACAAACATAACATTAAAATTATTGGTGTAGTTTCCTAAGGTTCAATAAATATATAAAATTATTATACTTAAAATAGTCGATAATATATATTGTGTAATATTTTCTAGCAGGCTATCATTATAATTATTATGACTATAGTACTAGACACTTACCGATATGGAAAATGGCGCAGTTGGTAAAGATACATTTACTTAAAGCTCTGGATATCCATTGATCTAAGAAGCAACCACTCAAGAGTAGGTGTTAAGTAGAATAAGAAAGAATTATATTTATAATTTTATCGAATCCTATTTTATGACATTCATTTCAAAACTATTTATTTCGGTTAATACATATTGAAATATAAACAATATATGATATAACATTCAATTAAATTAGTAAATTAGTAAAAGTCTCCAGCCTCAACTACAAGTGGAAGTGTAATACTACCTATATTCATATATAAATTTTAATCAAATTTATGAGAAGGAACGATCAAGAGACAAAGACGAAAATAAAAAACTTTTGGTGATATTCTTGGCCTAAACCCTAACCAAAAGAATAATCAAATTGTGATGATAAACATACTAAAACAACCAAAAAACAAATAAAAAGAAGCAAAAATAAACACGAAAAATAAAGCGAATGGCAGAAAACGAAAATTATGTTAAGATAATAGTTTCGCAAGTTTGAAAAATCTTGATAAATTAGTTCATGAAACAATAAAATAAAAACAATAAAAGAAAATATCGAATTACGATATCTCAAAACTGCAACGTGTGCCTTATTCCGGCCTTAAGTTCAAATTAGTTTCAATAATGCATAATAATATATAAACTGTAATCATACAAATAGGATATTATAAATAAAGGTGGTAACATAAAATCTACGAAGTTAACGGAGTCTATTTCGTTTTCAATCATTCGAAAGGACAGTTGCTTAATGCAATGAATCATAACACGGAGTAGGAATGCTTACAATTGTATGGTGGGTTTTAGAATACTATTATATATTATCTTTAGATTTAAGAACAAATAACAGCAATGCAGAAAGCCTATATAATTTTTAGGGCTAGAGTACTCAATTATCCATATTTCCAATAAAACCGACAGGTTGACGATTTTAATTTGTATTAAGATGTATTCCACTATTTCCAAAAAACCTAGATTATCTAAACGTAAAAGGGAAATCCAGCTTGTTACATTAAATTCAAGACTGGTAATCGCTGGGTAGATCCAGATAGTTACCAACAAATAAACTAAACATTGGGACTTTTTATCCACTTTATATGGATCAATTGTTAAAGAGAAAATTGCATCAACCGTTATTTGACCATGGACTCATACTCTGAGGAAATACTAGATAAACATTTACAGATTTGTGTATCACATTGCACTTGGTGGCTGCTACAGCTAAAATTACTGTTAACGTTACTGTTACCTTTCTCCTACGAGCAACAATAGCCAACCTGCCTCGAAATCAGTGTGCAAGAGTAAACTTAAGAGAGGACGCACGTAAGTCCAGGACAAAGTTTGGCGTAAGCGTTGGCGTTTGACACGAAGACGCTTCGCTGTTGCCCGAAGATGTACGGAGCTCGCAACGAAGATGTTTGACTTACTTTGCTCTGCCGCTGCCAACGCCGAATACGCGGCTCGCTTTTAGCTTTTGCTTTTACCCAAGTTCTATTTCTAAGCACGCGAGATGTGTCCTGAACCCTCCGCGACATTCATATTTATACTTGTTCGAGGCTGCGACAAAATTAGTTTTTCAATGACTCGCGTGCCGCCAGGTTATCCTTATCTGAACTAGGGTGCCTCTAGCGACGACGAGTTCGACGCGTGTATACGTTAGAAGGAGCAAGTGCGCGGTTTCTAAATATTAATTTTAGTGTCAACATGTTACATTGCGTTAGTTGTTGGCCACAAAGATCAATAGATCTTCAGGTCAAGTGGAAATATTAAATCTTACAAAATCAAGTATGTTGTGCACCTAACTAACCAACCTTAAAAGATCAGTTGTAACGTACTGTATGCCTTATAATTGAAATGCTATATGGAATATCTAAGCAGCAAGCCTTTATTTTCTTGATAAAACAATAATATATATACTTTTCTTTTGTAATTCTTAGTCGTTTGAGAGACGCAGTGAATGTCGGCATACTAATCACGAAGTTTAGAGATCGAAATATTTGTTTCTAGTAATTATTGTTATTGTCAATTAATCAAGTCTGTCTATGAAATCTATTTTTTCTTTTAAAAATTAATCCAAAAAAAATGATCATAACAAATCCTCTAAAATAAAAAAAAATGAAATAAACCTATTGACCTCCAATATGCTTATGTTAAAGTAAACTAAGCATATTATGTTCAGATCATGCTTAAAATAAGTTCTGTATATTTTTACTCTTTGCACTTGTTCATATGTTGTTAGAATAAGGTTTTCGGGACTTGAAGAAAAGTGATTCCGATTTTAAAAGTTTTGAATGTATTGTTTTTGTGAGATCTAAGAAACTCTTTATAATTTGTATTTCAGAACATGTTTCAAGAAAAGACGTTAACGCATGTTACAACTTAATAAGTATATGGGCATTTTTAATAATTTGTATGTTTCTGCAAATTATTTAAATAAAATGTATACCATATTATACCATTTAGACAAACAAATGTAAATTCTCAAAATTTAGCTGAAAGATAAATTATTTAGATATTAGGCTCTATTTTATGGAGATAATTTAAATAGAAGGCAATGTACGATTTTTTTTTAATAATTATTGTTATCAATTCATCATATCTATTTTTAAAATTAATTTTTCCCCTTAAAATATCAATCACGTAAAAATGTTCATAACATATCTTCTGATATGTATATTAGTCCATTGGAAATCAGATATTCAACAAACGTGTTCTGTGCAGCTTACTTTTAAATATCTGTAGATTGTGTGTCTAAATTAATAAATGATAATGGATGTCCACATTTCCAACTTAAATGGCATGAACACTTAAAACTTTTAAATGTATACGTTTTGGAGGAAATACACATGTAAAGTCCGACGACTTTCATGATTTAAGTAGCTTAATTTTTGAGCTTACAAGCTATTTTCAAAAACATCCCACCTTTCCAGTTGTTTGGAACAGATCCATCACCCTGGGTCCGAAGGAATTGCTACTGCGATCGGAAGCAAAGGTCGACGAGTGGCTGCTGTTGCAGTTCACCAGCGACCAGCAGTACATAGGCAAAGCCTACCAGCTTCAAGAGCCGCACCACCGACCTCAAACGTAAGCGCAACCGGATGCGAAGCTGAAAGCTTCAGAGCTTCAGCTGATCCCACAAAACAAGATTCCATTACATATTTTAAGAATGGATTCGGCTGACTTTTGGCAGCAGGCCCGAGCGCCCTTTGCACTTCACACTGCTGCGACGGCATTGCACCAGCACCAGCACCAACATACGCAACAGCACCCGCAGCCTTTGTCCAGCCAGCAGGAGCAGCATGCCAACCCTACAAATAACAACAACCACCTGCCATTAAATAGCAAATTGGAGCCAAACCAGGTGCAGCAGCAAGAGCATCCGCAGCATCAACAGACACATCAGCAGCTACAGCAGCAACAGCCCCAGCAGAGCATTGAAACTCAGCTCCTGCAGCAACATGTCGAACAGTGTTATAGCCACGAATCATTTGAAGGGCAGCAGTCGGTGGCGACGGCACCAACGTCGACGCAGCTCAGCAACCATCATTTGTTATTTAACGCAGCCGCCGCGGCGGCTGCTGCAGCGCACCTCAAATCAACGGCATTAAATAACCATGCTCAAAATAATATCACTAGCAGCAATGCTAATTCGTCAGATCAGTTGGACAATCCACTGCCGCTTCCTATTCCCCCGCTAAGCAACCACAATCTCAACAGCAGTGGTCATCTTGCAGTTAAAACCAAGCAAGAGCATGACCAACAGCAGCCGCAGCCCTCCGAGGATCCCCGCCCGCAGCCATCCGACCAGACATACAGCTCTAACTTTTACGCCGGTCCTTCCGAGCAGCGTTCACAACTTCACCAACAGCATCAGCAGCAGCCACACCAGCCACGCAGCCCACTTCTCACTAAAACGATATCCCAAGGTCAACAATCGCCGCAACACTCGATAACTCCGTCTGGCGGTAGTTCAACACCCGATATAAAGTACAATAACGAAAAGTTGGCTAACGAAATCCAGGTATGTGCAAAAAATAAATCTAGTTAATTGTTGAAAACATTTTCTTATCATTTTATGGAATCTGTAAACGCATAACGTATTTATTTAGTGAGCAACCGCTTACATATAAACAGGAGATTCAGAATATCTCTTTTTCTGATTCTATATTCACAAAGTAGAACATACTTAGTTTGTGTTCCCACCCAGGTTCTCAATGTATATATTGGTACGTTGACATCCAAAACGACTTTAATATTTCTTCATTTATTCTTTATATGCAACCTAGGTATACAAATATTCGCGTAGAACATATACAACGCATATAGTTTAGTTTATTTGCACAAATTAGTTATTATATGCAAATGGTCAAAGATGATTGAGTCCACTTGTGTAACAATTACAAAAATACTATCTAGCGAGACTATAAAGATGGGTGTCCTTTAGTTAGGCACTGCCCGGAATACACAATTCTCGGAGAAAGATCTTCAGCCACTGTGTGTTATACTATCTTATAATATAATAGTTTCTTTCGTATGTCAGGAAATGGTATCAGTTGTATTGTATATCTATTAATAAGAAACCCTGATACTTAATAAGAAACAAGCACGAGCTGTTTAATTTTGTGATAGTGTGATTAAGAGTTATTTGACTATTTTAAAACACGACCGATTTACAACTGAACCCCGATGCATTTTGTTGGTTTAGAGAATAATTTCTCTTAGGTAATACCACAATTAAAAAGAGACAGTTAAAAGCAACCTTCAAAGAGAGTAAGTCTCATAAATTTCCCATTCATATAAATATATGTGTATATATATATTTAACCACATAAATATGCTACCCCTTTGGCTTGTGTTTAGAACATAAAAGCTCAACAATCTGGATATCCACATGAAACGAAAATGCGAAAGGGGTAGTCTCAAAACTGCTGCTCAATATACCGTGGCTTTCACAGTGAATGGAATAAAGCTTTTTCCCTGTACGATAATTTTCGCCCTCCGGTTAAAAACTTCCAGACTTTTAATTATGAATGGAGCGGGCATTGGTAAGGCTCAGTCATGTTGGCTTGAGGAGAGTTGAAATTGGTCTTGAATTTTTCTTTTTCTTTAAGGTGGATATTCTGACGGTGACTTCCCCTTTCTAAACAAATTTTCAAATAATCTCACACATACATAAATATACACACATGGTTAACGAGGGGTGAGAGAGTAAAAGAGAGTTGAAGAGAGAGACAGAGGGATATTAAAAGAGGGAGAAGAAACGAAAAGGACAAAATTCTTATCGCTTGCTAGGTTTTTAGGTGTCTTTTTCCTCAAGTAACCCCAATCCATAAACGTAAGCGTTCGACTCCCGTTAGCGTTGGCCATTTCCCCTTCTTTGTTTCCGTGTATATGTATATATATAATAAATAAATATATATATATATATATATATATATACATATATAAACATGTTTGTGTGTGTTTGTGGATAGGGTGGAATTTAAGCTGTGGGTTGTTTTTGGTAGGTGAGTGAGTGCTAGTTTAGTTTTATACCACTACACAATATACATATACAACGCACACACCAACACAAACGTTATTCCTATTCTTGCTTCGGACGTTTACGCTGTCCGCTGCTACTTCTATTTTTGCGATGCTTTTTCACGCCGCATTTGGTGAGCAAAAGAGAGAGCGTTTTGTTTTCTTCTCGCTCTTTATGTGTATTTTTTTCAATGAATGTAACTCGCGCATAATTTCTTGAAGAAAACAATAATAGTACGGCCACACTCCTACAGACACATATACCGATGCCAACGAGTTAGAATGAGAAGCACAACTTGACGCTAGAAACAGAGCCAGAGCAGAGCCGCTGGCGTCGACGACGACGACAGAATAAGACGTTGGGCTGGTATCCCATTTACAGATAAGGCGAAGCGTCTGCCGGCAGAAGTTTAAAGGACATCGGGCCGTCAGGTTGCGTGTGACTCCGCGTGCTACAGTGAAATACTAAATATACGCTTAACGTAATTTGTAGAAACTTAATAGTAAAAAAGCACACGCTACACATCCTGAAAAAAAACAAAAAAAAAAAGTCGTGGAGATTGCCATAATCGGGAATTTTAGTGCTGCTAATCGTTGCCAATTGTCAATTGTGCAGCTCGGACAACAGCCTTAGCCGGGTCTGGGCCTTGGTGCATTCGATACAAATACCAAATACAAACACACATATACATTCATATATTCGCACACGCATACACAAACATATGGGCAGGCATGTTTAAAAACAGAGATATAAATTCACGAAAAACATATGCACATATGCCCAAACACCCACATAGATACATACGTTAGCTCGGTAGAAACCGTAAACAAACAAATAATTTGACAAGGACACCGCAAGAGCTGTTGGTGCTGGTTCATTGAAGGAATCGGTTTTTGTACTTCCAATTACCTACGAAACACTAATGCGTATCGAACAACCTAATCCGAGCCGATTCGTATCTTAATTTGTCACCGTCTGTCTATAGCAAATGTATATACATGTGTTTTGATATATAATAATAATAATATATATATATATGTATAAATATATAAATATAGTACGAACAAAACAAAAAATTATAACTAAAATAAACGCGAACTAAAATATTCTCGCGAAACAACTAATAAAGAAATATTAAAATAACTGTTCTTCGTTCCGTTTTCTTTGATTTTCAACCGACTTGATCTCCTTTTTAAAATGACTCTTGACTGTGAAAAGGAGCACGATGTAATTTCATTTTCAATTGAAAATCTGTCAAAATTAAAAAATCCTACGAATTATTTTTCTTTTCGTGATCTTGACTTTTTTGCTTTGCCATTGATTTGCTCTCACTTACTTTCATTCCGTTTGTGCCACCCTATTGACCTAGCTTTCGCATTCGCTAAAGGGAAAACACGTACAACCTACATTTAACTAATAAAAATTTCCTCAAAATCGACAATAATTGCATCTTTAATGATTAAGATATGTAGTATTTGTAGATAGGTAGAGCGTAATTATTATCTTATAAATATATCTTCTATTCTTTCAGTGTTGACCTTTATATAGAATCGCAAATAATTTACAAAAATAGATCTAATTTGAATACTTGAAAGCATAAGAAGCTTGATAAAAAATATTTTCAAATAAAATTTTATAAGCTTAAAATATAATTTGGTAGGAGCAAGTATTATTTATAATGAAACGCAAGAATTAGAATAATCTCTTCCCCTTAATCTGCTTTATTAGTTTACATGTCAGTTGAAAGCCATCTAATACCAGAGAATTTCTCAGTCCCTTCAACTTATAATTATTAATAAATTCAAAAATGGATTTTAAGCAGTTGTGGGATTTTCTTATTTATCTAATTTATTATATTATTATATATTATTATTATATATTATTAATATATAATATATTATTTTATATCCTTATTTATTTCAGATTTAGTTTTGTGTGAGCAAAGAGTAATAAATAATTACAAAAAAAACACATAGTACTAATTATTATAAAGTACCATATCTAATTTTTGTAAGCCGACTAACCGATCGTTTGCCGCCTGGCAAATGTAGAGACGCACGTAATGTTTTTTGTTTTTAACCAATTATATAAAAAGTAATTAATATTATCTTTACGATTTGGTTGTTTATTTAGATTTGCTATTCTCGTTATGCTTAAGTAACTTTAATTTCAACAAATCTGAAGAGAAATATTTCTACTATCTACTGTCGGCGCAGTATAAATCACATGCTTTGATCGATCTGCTGGCATATAGTCACTGTGTGTGCTGGAGATTATGAAATACTCTCGAAAGATAAAAAGAAGCAGGCCTGTTTCAATCATCAATAAAAAAAATAATAATATATATATTCATATATATATTCATATATAAATTTTAATTATTTTTTTTTTTGCATTTTAATATTTGTTTTGCAACTCTACGATAATTCTTAATATTGAAACAGAGCACTTATATATGCCATATGCTGATGAAAATTAAAAATTTGTATAGATTATGAAATATGAAACAGGTCTACTTACATTGAGTAATGAAGTAATAAAATTTGAAGTATTCTTTTTTAATATGTATCTAATTGAAATTAAAATAAATGTAACAAAAATTTGTTTATTGAATTTCCATTCTGATTTTACCATTTCAGCTTCAGCTCTCCAGGTCCAGTAGCGCAGCAGCGATCAGTGAACGTACCCTTGAAGAATGTTGGTCAACCCTGCAACGAGTGAGTTGGCATCTCTTCCGTTGTGTATAGTACTCTTCCACGTTGAAGACACAAAATACCACATGTATATGCACATCCTTCCATACATAAAAACTTACATACCTAATTACTTAAAGCACATGAGATAAAATTGAAAAGCATAACACCCCGAGAGCATGATTTCGAAAGACCTCCGACTATTTACTTGCTATTATTATTTCGTTTGTAGAGGTAAAATTAATTCATAGAATAAGTCGAAAATAGTCATCTTGATAATTGAGTTGGTGTTTCCAAAACTACAACTCTCAACAACAACTCTTCCCAACAGTAACTGAACAGATGAAAGTTTGCCCGCAAAAAATCTGCACAACTATATAAATATTACAATTTTGGGTTTTCAAGCCTTACAATGCACAGTGGTTTTCTTTTTGTTAAAGTATATATTCCATAAATAAGAAACCTTTTACAAGGTAACATTTCATCGCTCTTCGTGAAGAAGATGGGAATACATAAATTTACCTAGACGGAATGTATACATACGGAATATACATACATACAGACAACCGCACACACATACACAAACACGTTATTTACAAATTATTTTAAGTTTTAATTATTAAAAGAAGGTATAATGCCATTATAATAATAATTGATCGATTAGTATAGAATTAATCGAACGCTTTGATCCGTTATTATTTGGTATCAGCCACTGTATGATGGACCTAGACAAGTTCTTAATGCGTAATGTACTTATTGATCAATAAATATAATTTTTGTAAATGCATTTAATTTTTTTGGTTTGGTTTGTTTGATTTTTATTGTTTTTCTTAGCCCCACTAGCTTTATCCACGCACACATAACAATAATACATTTGTTATTTGCTATACACATGTGTATGTGCACATACATACATCAGTTAGTCAGTGATATGTATATGAAGCGCCCTACACTTTAAGGAAATGTAGATCTATACGTTAATGCAAGCAGTTTGGATATTAGGGAAAGACTATATTTTTCTATATATAAAACTGTTTGACCTGACTGACTGACTAGGAAGCTGAAATTTTCACTTTAGTTACCTTATGTGATGTAGGTGCACGTTAAGATGGGGTTTTTCGAAAATTACAGCCGCAAGTGAAAGCATTTATTTTATACATATATATATATATATATATATATATATATATATATATATATATATATAGCGGGTATAACACGGCCTTGCCCGTGGCATGTATAAAAGAATCGAATTTGTCTGCTACTGCTTGTTACATGAATTTGAACTACTTGACTATTTATTTTACCTTTTGATGGGTAAAGGATTTGCATCAAATCTAAATTACACACACATTTTTTACAAAAATGGACCCTCGCGTGACAAGTATTGTGGGAAGGGTATTAAGGCGACATCCCAAGATAATTTAAAATTCTTAGCGAAAACAAAATCCGTTTTGCCACACCAACAGAAACGCATGCAGACATTTTATGCATACAAACTTACAGCCAAACAGACATATACATATGTACATACACATACATACATACACACAGTATTTATATGTGAATTTACTAAAGCTCATAAAGATGTCGAAGGACGCACAGACATGTTAAAGTAACGAATAACCTGCGTGCGTCTGTGTGTAAGTGTGTGGTATGTCTGGGATTGTTCCACCCTCGCGGTTCATTCAAATTCGAAGAAAAACAAGAGTAGATGCACACATATTTTGTTTTGTTCTTCCCCTAAGCCAAGGTACATTTTTTGCGACCATTTTCATTTTGCTTGCCTTCGACCACTGTTGTTTTTTTTTGTTCGTTCTTTTTCTATTAGCAGCGGCATACGGTTACCGTTACCCCCTACCGCCGTTCTTCCCCTACGGGGTGTACCATATCTTACCCTCAAACGACTCACACAATCACACAGCTCACTGGTAGGCAGCACACGCAAACACCGTAGAAGGAGGACGATGCCAACAGTAGATATTCATTGGCGCAGAGACCCCTCTGCCATCCACCCCTCATGCGTGTGTTGAAGAATTAGAAAAAACGATACGGTAAAACAGAACAGAGAAAGAGAACGTTAAAAATGTGCAAAAGAAATTTAAAAAAGTATATATACATGTGTAGTTTGTACATATGTAGTGTAGTAACTAAGTGCAAATATCCTTGTGCACATATGTACACAGCATACAGTAATATAATGCACATATTAAACTTACATTGGTGATACAAATTTTGTGATAGATAAAAACTTCATTTGTTTTAGTTGATCCACAGCTATTCTCTTGGTCGATTGACAAATATTAAACTCCTTAATTTAAAGAACATACCCTATCTAAAAATATATCAATTATCTATTATTTTTAATATATCGGCAAAAACCTGATATGAGGATCTATTTCTAGATACATTAGATATTCGGTTCCTTGGAAAATCTAAGAAGATTATGTTTTAACAAAATGTTGATGCATTTATATACATATATGAATATTTATGTACATAATATATTGTTTTATGCTTAATTATTTGTACATATGTATGTAGTATATGTACACTTTTAGGGATTCTGTATTCGGCTAGTCGTACTTTCACTGTCCAACGACAATCTACTGACCCTCGTCCACTTCACTTTCCATATTCGCATAGCTCTTAACCCCTCTACGCACTCATACACACTTGTACACGGCCGTCCTATTATCGCACTCTCATTTGCCGACGATTCGCAAAACTGCCGTTGGCTGGCTAGTGACTGGACAGCGCTGTCCATAGTGCTCGCCATTTTTATGCGATGCAAAGGACGAAGGAGCGAAGGAGCCGGACTGGGACCTGTGTCATGGCTGCGCTCGCCAAATGAATAAAAACTGCAGTGGCAAAGAGTCTCGGCCAAATGACGAGCGGCAGTAGCGAATCGGCGGGAGTGCAAACAAACTGTTGGCGACCAACCAACCAGAGAAGACCGCACGCGGGTTGTCTGACTGCCTGCCTGGTTGCCTGTGTATGCTTTACCATTGCTATCGTCCTCTTCCTTATACTCCGGTCGCACCTACAACCATATTTCTTGTGGATTATTAAGGTGTATTATCGGTACTTTGATACTCTCTTAAATTTTATAAGCGTGACTACCTTAAAATATAATATCTATATAAATATACTCACTTATGGACTTAATTTTCTTTTACATGCAACTGTATGAAGGAGACATGTTCGATCTAAATTGATTCAGCCCTGTTCGACTTAAATTTGATATATTTATATTCTCCTAAAATATACGCATATAGAGATTTAAATTTGTTGTTTGTACTTATCTATTTACATGTCCAAATATCGATGAAAATCGTCTTTAAAACTTAAAATATGAATATTTAACTTTTAGGATACCTCCGCACTCCCTAAATATTAATAAATACTAATTTTTAATGACATATTTATGTCCTTAAAGCTGCTCATAGATCGGACAATTAACATTGAAGTAGTTCATTATACATTATTAATATCTAATATATGCCTAAAAGAATTTTTCATTAAATACATTTAATAAAATTAATTGCTGATAAACTTTTTGCCCTGCTACAATAAGTTATAAAAAAAAAACAAAACAAGTCTTATCAGAAAGTTTCCATCTGAAACCTATAAAGGTATCTCCCAAAGAAAGCGAAGGTTTTCTGATACTTTCTGAGTCTTGAATTTTTTGATTATTGTTGCTCGTGAGCACTAAACGGTCACAATACATTTTATAAAAATCAGCAGAAATTTTTTTTGGGTTGATCCAAAATGCCCATTTACTTACAAACAATTATTTATTCGCTTGCAGAGGGTATTATTATTTTTACGCAAAATGTGATACGCAGCAGATATCGTCGAATGAAGTTATAAAATATTCATAATCAGTATCAATAGCCGATCTGCCTGTGCGTATTTGAAATAGTTTCTCTATTTTTAGACATTTGAACCATTGGACATTTGGAAATGCATTCATATACAATCGTTAGAGTATTTGCAACCGCACTTTGTTATCAAGATTACTTAATGAAATTCCCCAATCAGGGACTAAATTATTATTATCTTTCTCTGAGAAAGCTTCTATACGTATCGTAGTTTATAGCACATTGGAGCTGTAAAATAAAAAAATAGATAATCTTATATATGTATGTAAGAGCATTTAATCTTCGGCAGTCAAATTAATATAAAAGATACGTCTCGCTCTGGCTTTTATCTGTTTGTGTATAATTATACAAAAAAATTAAAAACAAAACAAACATCAAGAAGTGTTTTGCTGACTTGTTTTCGTCTTGTACGACATGCAACTATACACATTTTATAATAAGATTCACCAAAAAAATGTTTTAAAAAAAGAAGTAGAAAAAAATAATGCCAATAGTTGTCGAAAAAAATCTATAAATGACCCTAGAATGAAATACGCGACAGCAGTTTGTGCGAGAAGGTAGTAGCTGAAAGTCGATATATTCTTCCCAACTCACAATTACATATTATGTGCACATACACACTCACAAATCAGCGCTTAACCTTGACCATAGTTACAAAATTAAGTAGATACCAAACACATTTTGCAATATATACATCTAAATTTTAAAATATTGTTAGCCAAAGAGATATCCGCACATGCCCAGAGTAAAAAAAAAAAACAGACATTATATTTACATACATATTTTGTATATACATATAGATCTCACAAACAAAACGATGAAAAACAGGATTGATCGCTTGTAACCGATATGTTCGTCCATTTTAATTTTCCAGCTTTTCATGCACAAGAGCGCCATGCAGCAAATCCAACAACAGATTCCTCGTGTCGGACTAGGGGCGCACGGCGTACCCGGGACGGCTAGCATGGGCAGCGGTACAACGCCTGGCGCAGAAACAAAGCCACACCAGTGCCAGCAGTGCATGAAGAGCTTCTCCAGCAACCATCAACTTGTACAGCACATACGCGTCCACACTGGCGAGAAGCCCTATAAATGCTCCTACTGTGATCGTAGATTTAAGCAGCTATCCCACGTACAGCAGCACACGCGGTTGCACACCGGTAAGTACTAGTCGTACCAACAACTAAAAAAATTATCTTTGCGGATTTCGGGGGCAAATAGACGGTGTGATACACAAAGTAATTTTATCTATAGTTTTTGAGTTATTCTTTAACAACCAACTCTTAAACTCAGCTTGTGTCGGTTTATAAAAAAACTTGAACCATAAAGAAGAATGTATATTTTGGATTTCAAGTTTTTATCTTTTGTAGTTTCCGAGATCTACACGTTTACTCAGACGAACGGACAGGTAGGCTGTACTGTTTCTATTGTATATAATTTTAGATATTAAGGGTTTATTTTATTATAAAATCGCTTGTAAACAGCAAAACCAAATGCAATGGGTTGAGCTCGGATCCAAAAAGTTAAACAGAAGAAACCATAATAATTATGTTTTGTGGTCCTTCATCTCAAACAATACAGAAATCTACTCATTTTTGGCATTCAATACTTTTAACTATCTCAATAATGAAAGCATACATAAATTAAATGGAACATCCACAGCTGAGACATTAAAAGTCTGTGTTCATAACTTAAGTACTTAGTCACCTCATACACAATTCCTACCCAATTTCTACATTTTTATAATTACAATTTGCGCGTTTTCTGGTACAAGCTTGATTTCATATTATGTGCTTATTACTTAAATATATTTTTTCGTTACTGCTAGTCCTCGTAATTACAAAGCTGATGAAATTTTTCAGTATTTGGACAAATTAAAACGACCGTCAGCCCCTAAAACAGTTGCAATGTGGGACAAATTCATGTTCAGCAGTATTTCTATTCTAGGCCGAAATGTAAAATAACAATTGCTAAGGAAAAAATAATATATCCAATCTAGGCTAAAAAGTCGGACTGCCAATCAATATTTGCCTATTATAAAAAAGCGGGTCTCATTTTCATAATTTCAAATAACACGAAATCTTATGGAACACAGATTTAGACTATTTAAAAATTTAATTTATTTCTGTCTGTGTTTTGTCGTTTATGACAGTAAACAAAACAAAGCATATCTACTTGTTTTTATACATTGTACGAAAAATACTGAATAATATAATTATTTTACTTAATCTTAATTGCTAAAGTTATTTTATTAAAAATGTTTAGAAAATATTTTCTCTACACTGCAACTATTTCGGCTCTAGAATGCCACAACGCCCAGGGCACTTTCACAGCCACTGTTGTCGCCCATTTAGATTTTCTCTCACTCCCTCTCTTTCACTCAGTCACTCGGCATTCTCAGTTAAGAGCTTCTCTGCGTTGCATTTTCACCGACCATGTCCAGCGTACAGCAATAATTTTCTTTTTCGAATACAGACTCGTCAAATCTAGGAGTTCCAATGACAAAATGCTAAAATGACAAAATGACAATGATAATTAAATAAACTTTGAGTGCTTTTCGTCGCGACTTTTTCGGTTGACGCCAGCTGCGACCAGTGAAATATAAATACCTATGGGAACAGTAATAGCAATTTAACTCAGAATCGGAATGGGAGTAGGGATGGACTAGTCGTCGGAAATTATTCAACGTCATTAGCCGCATTGAAAGCGATGTTTTTTTTTCATAAGATCTCATATTGTTCCTCAACGTCTTTCGTTTAGTTGAAGCAAATTATATTCACACCTGATTGAAACATTACAATTACAATTTTTTTGTTTTTTTTTTTTCAGTTTTTATGCTTAGTTTCTTGTTTCTTTTAGCATTTCCCTTCTTTTCTTAATGCCCAAATGCTGAAAAAAAAAATCAAATACGCTTTAATTAAAAACCAGTTTGCACCCTGCAACCGAAACCGGCATCGGCAATGAAAGCAAACCGACGACCTTCAGCTAGCTACGAATGAGGAGTTGATTCGGGCCTGGTGTTGGGCTTAGATTTGGCTTCGGTTTCGGCTTGGGCCTTGGCAATTAGACAATGCAATGCTAACGGCCCGGTGTCGCGCAGCGATCTATGAGGCTAAACAGCATCAGCATCAGGACCAGCGTCAACATCAGCAACTCAGATAATGAAGAAGCTATTAGGCAGCTGCCCACCGCGCCTCTCACTTGTCCACTCCGTCTACTATATAAGTGAAAGCCGCAGAAGGCAAGCTTCTAGGGGCCGTCACGGAATTCCATTGTAAGCACGTATTCACGCAGCCCTTTGCATTCTTTAAGGCTCTTTAAGTGGTTGTTCAAATATAAAGGGCGACATCGTGCTGCTAGGTGTAAAGAGTTGCTGCTGTGGCTGCCAGTGCTGCCAACGGTCGCTGCAGAAACCTAGCTCAAGCCAATTTGAAAGCAGCTAAAAAAATTTCGAAGTCGTCCGTAGGATTTTTTCCTACTATTTTACAGAATAAACCAATTAGCAACAAACAGGGTATTTTTGTGAATATTTGCTAGAATTCATACTGTAAAATAAGTACTAATCCATTGGGCATTAACTATTTTTCGCTAAAAAAAATATCCAGAAGCTAGAAAATAGCTGTAGAGGCAACACTTGTGGCAACTGCCGCCAACATCGGGCAACGCAATTCCGAACGGGTTATTGTCGCTGGTATTGGAGTTGGGCGGTTCCAAGGCATTCACTGTGCTCGCGACCGCAGTTTCATCTAAAAGACTGCACTTTGTTGCTATTTATTTGCATTTACTAGTAGGTGTCGCTTCCAAGCAAAGTGACTGTAAGTAGCTTAAATGGTTTAGTGCTTTTGGTGTTGCCAACTATTCGTACTACACCGTTTTTGACCGTTCCGCAGTACTGACCTTCCACTTTTTCTTTTAATTGCGCGTTCAAATGAAATTAATTTTCTTGCAAATCTGAAACACGTAATTGCTGCATAGCTCCAACTTTCGAACGGCTTACCATTTAAGAGACTTGCCCAACGAAAAGCAGCAGCGCGACGCGATGCGTTGCGACCCTGAAAGGATTCTTACTGACTGTCGCTGTCTGCGACATCATTTTCTAGCGCTCTCTTTTAATCTTGTTAAAATGAAGTCAATCAGTCAATTACAGCTCTGTACCGTATGCTGCACGTTTAAGACATTAAAGTATTCAAATGTCTGAGAGTGTTACAACGCTCGCATCCTCAAAGCAGTGTTTAATTATGGAAACATTTAAGATGTTATACCTTGTCTTAGGGCAATGCCTAGATGTTAAATTTTTAAAGATATTTAGTCACTACGGTTCGGTATTCAGCACACCTTTTAATCTGTCATATTCGTCTGACCATTATTGCTTTCAGTTTCAGATTTAAAATTATGAGATATACTTAATCAGTCAATTACAGCTCTGTACCGTATGCTGCACGTTTAAGACGTTAAAGTATTCAAATGTCTGAGAGTGTTACAACGCTCGCATCCCCAGAGCAGTGTTTAATTATGGAAACATTTAAGATGTTATACCTTGTCTTAGGGCAATGCCTAGATGTTAAATTTCTAAAGATATTTAGTCACTTAGGTTCTGTATTCAGCACACCTTTTAATCTGTCATATTCGTCTGACCATTACTGCTTTCCGTTTCAGTTTTTAAATTTTTGAGATATACTCAAAAGAGTGAACTGTGTTTTAATTGAGATATGCTTCAAAATCATTATTATATTTGTACAACCCCTTTTAAATAGGTAGTGCATATTATTCTCTATTATGGAAACTCTCTTCAGATAAACACGAAGCATCTCCTCCTACTCCTAAGGAACAACATTATCTAATGGAATCCATTGCGTGAGTTGCGGTGACTCGCTAGCTAGTCAGATTGTAGCATGTGAACCGACAGCCGGTCGCCAGATTTAACCAGCAGCACAGTGGAATTATCCTTTCATATGTTTTGCCGAGTTTTCCCTGGCGGTTGTTTTCCGGCGGAAAAATTTAAGGGCGTTATTAGTGATAGTCTCTGTTTTCAAAAAAAAAAACCTTGAACGGCACACGCGAACCTTAAAAACTTCAAAAATGAACGTATATCCTAAATTGTTTTCATAATTGGAGCCTACTGTTTTCAAACTAAATGAATATCTCTAGTTTAAACTAAATGGTCAAAATTTGCAGGAGAACGACCGTACAAATGTCACTTGCCGGACTGCGGTCGAGCTTTCATACAACTCTCCAACCTACAGCAGCACTTACGAAACCACGATGCCCAGGTGGAGCGAGCCAAGAATCGGCCCTTTCATTGTAATATTTGCGGCAAGGGTTTTGCAACAGAGTCCAGTCTGCGCACGCACACATCCAAGGTGAGTTTAGAAGTTTAAAGCGATTTCTATCGTGTTAAGCATCGACCAGCACCCACACTGTTGTTTAGTTTCATGCCTAATAATACACAAAAAGGAAATAACAGAACCTCAAATTCAAAGCGCTCATTTCTGTTGTGTTTCCGCCCTCTGATAAACGCACTTCCATTTCCATCAATTCTTTTAATGCACGCACCAAATGCAAACTGGTATCTCATGACAACCCATATCGCCTCACCTCAGGAGCTACAGCTGCATCTTGGTGTCTTGCAGCAGCATGCGGCACTTATTGGTGGGCCCAATGCAACATCATGTCCGGTATGCCACAAGCTCTTCCTTGGCACCGAGGCGCTTTTGGACCACATGAAGCATGTGCACAAAGAAAAGTCGCCGACGCATAGCGAACCACGTAAGCAACCACATATAAAAGGATTTTCATTTCATCGGGTATCACATTCAATCATTGTTTCTCCTTACAGCTGCTCAATTTGGTGATAGTATCCAAAGTGGCAGCGGCAACGGTGGTGCTGGGCCCGGTTCGCTAGCAGCGCAATGCACGTCCGAATTAAGCTGCGCCCAACCATCGACAACCAGCGGATCCAGCCTGAATGACAGCTACCTCGGCAAACGAAGAACTGCGAACCACCCTTGCCCCGTATGCGGCAAGCACTACGTCAATGAGGGATCCTTACGCAAGCACTTGGCTTGTCATGCCGAAACCTCCCAGCTGACAAGCAGTTTGCGCATGTGGCCATGTTCCGTCTGTCAGGCAGTCTTCACGCACGAAAACGGTAAGTTAACGGTTGTGTGGTCCGATTGACTGACCGACTAACTTATATACGTCTCAAAATGAAAACTTAGCCTTATTTTCAAAGCTCAACATATAAAAGGAATGAACAAGCATATCATCTATTTTGGTAGTACCTCAACTTTGGAAATTTGTCGAAAACCGGTTATATTCAACTGTTAACCGTTCGATCCGGTTGAAGCGGAAAGCTTTAATAGTTATGACCAGAACTTAAATTACTTAGATTAGTTTATTAAATAATTGAAAAACATTAATTAATAATTGCATTTATTTTGAACAAAACTTACCCATCTCCTTATTTCTTATGTTTCAGGTCTTCTTACCCACATGGACCACATGCGCATGGATCCAAAACATCAGTTTGCGGCGCAATACGTTCTGGTATGTACCCTCGCGCTGGCTGATTTCAGTATACATGACATTATTCCTTATGTTTAAGAAGGTTTTTACGCGACTGACTAAGTTACTGATTGGCAATGAAAGCACAATCCAAACTGTAAGAGCTAGAGCTGAACCATCCTATAATTCTTTTTCGTACGACCTAATTCAAACATAATTTAAAACTGTGCTTTTTTTGGATCGTTTTCAATCCCTTTAATTCATACATACCCATAAATACATACATGTTTGACACACAGCTCGTCCATTGTCACCAATAATCCTCGTTGTTCACAAAGTAATAGGAGTACATTGAATTTATGCAATCTCTGTCTTGCCCTCGTTCTGTCTGTCAATATGAATGTAAATAATTTTGCCAACTTGTGGCATGACAAATTGAGCTAAATGAGATTTAATAGTGAGATTTCGGTAAACGGAATTAATGTATATAATATACAAATTTTTTTAATTCGAACGCAATTTGAATTTTTTGTTTCAGTCTCGAGCGGCGGCAGAGCAGCGCGAACGCGAATCCCTATTAGCAGCGACATTGGCTGCTTCTTCAACGAGTAGCGGGGTCAGAGAGACTGCAAATATGCTACCGTTGGGAGTTACCCCTGGCGGCTCTAGCCCATTGTGTCCCTCGCCATCAGCGAACTCGGAGTGTTCGTCGAATGGACGCCTCTCCTCTTCATCCGCATCGGATCAGGAACAGGATCAGGGATTGAGTGAAAATGAGAATAGCAGCCACAACAATAATAATAGCAGCGCTAACAACAATAATAATATCAATAACAATAATAATAACAACTGCAATTCAAGCAAAATCAATATGAACGAGTTGAGACTGCCCAGTTCCAGCCAGTACAGTATGGATGCCGAGCTGCACGCCAACAGAATGTCCCTAATGGCAGCTGCATCAGCCGCCGCTGCGGCAGTGGCCGCCTCAGCTGGCTCAAGGTCACATGATGGCACCATAGACGCAGCTACTACCGGACCGGGCAGCGCGGTAGTCCAGGCGGCCGTTGTCAACCTGGCTGCCGCAATGCGCATGAACAATCCGGCAAATCACCAACAACAGGTAAGACTTTATTTCGGAACGGCTACAACACAGAGTTTTTATCTATTTTTTTATAAGCAGAACCATTACTGAATTTTTACCAAATAAAATTTGGAAAATATATGATTATCCAAGTTTTGAACCAAACCGAAGCTGCTTTTAAGTCTGCTTCCCTAGTTGTAAGGCTCAGCATAGTTGCGGTTACTTTCTATCGCTTTTCCTTTTTTTGTCGGTACCTGAATGTCACAAGTAGTGTAATTAATTCTTCTTTTGCTACTTAAAGCCTGGCGAACACCAGCTGCACCAGCAAAACCATCAGCAACAGGCGCAGCATCAGCACCAACATCCTCACCATCAACAACAGCTGCCTCATTTGCCATTATTGTCTCCCCTCGGCAGCCAACAGACACATCCTAGCAATAATAACACTCGGCGATCTCCGACTATAAACGTTCCAAGCCTACAAATGCAGGCAGACACATCGTCCGTCATGATGAGCATGATGCGCAGCTCTTTGGATTCTGGTTTGGGGGGCATGCATCAAATGGAAGCGCTTCATCATCAACACCACCAAGCGTCCAATTACTCACAGCACGCAGTGACACCTAGTTCGCAGCAGGCGTCGTCACATCCTCAACATACCCATCCTGAAGCGGCACTGCGAATGCATCAACAAGCCGAGGCTATATTACGCTCCCATACTGAGGCCGCTTTTCGTCTGGCTGCCTCAGTGGCCGCCACGAATGGTAGTAACGCTAACTCAACGTCTACCAGCACTGGCACAATAAAAAGCGAATCCTCGGTACATCAACAGCGGCAGATCAATGGCAGTGAACTGCACTCATCGCCGCATCGTTTCCAATCAAACGCGAACCAACCGCACCCCCACCCGCAACCGCAATCACTACAGGAGCAACAACCAAATCCACACAACTCATGAACTTTAAGCGAATTTACACAGTACCAGAAGACACATCGCTATCCTCAACGGGAAGACCAGCATTGATTTTAGTGTGACGTATTTCTTCCTGTGTCAGCAGCACCCAGTACCACGAACTCAACCTGGCTCTGTGTCGTTGTTGTCATTTCGTACAGAGTCCACTAATGACTCTCTGGGAGATGAATACATCAAGAAGAGACTAAAAATAGAAAAATATAAATTTACTCATCTATTGGCAAATATGTACTTATGTGCTTTATCTGCAAGCCAGTAAAAATGCACATGTTTTGTATATACATAGAACATACATGTACAATATATTATTGTATGCATTGTATGCAATACCATATATTTTGAGTGAAATCTAGACTAAAGTTCACAAAATACTCAAGAGCTAAATGTCGGTGTGAAAGACACACATTCAGATTTAGAAGACCGAACAATTATATTTTAATGAGTTCTAATTCTGGAAGCTTATACTGGGTACTGGACTAGATTTCCCAAACCGGACTCATACAGTACTTTCCATAGGGAAAGTGTATTTTAAAATAACTTCTGGGTTTATTGTTACTTATCGATTACTTTAAACAAGATTGATCTGCGCAAAATATAACTTTAGAATGTATATATATATACACTCTCTATATATATACTCTCTACCGATATATATAGAAGTTTATATAGCGTATAGTTTAGGTAAGGAGGGTATATGTATTTAGAAAGTTTTTTTTTAGTTAAAAAAAAGAAAGTTCAATAAGATTTCCAAAAGCTTTTACAATTTTCAATAATTTCAGAAATTCAATGCATTTATTTAGTCATCAAACTGTTTGTCCTGACTGACTGACTGATTGTTGACCAACGCAGAGCCGAAACCGTAAGAGCTAGGAAGCTGAAATTTTCACTGTAGTTACCTTATGTGATGAAGGCGCACGTTAAGACGGGGTTTCGGGAAATTCCACCCGCAAGTATGGAAATATCGCGAAAAACATTTGTATGAAACTTTTTTGCTTACCATCCGATTGGCCTCAAACTCAATTTCAAAGTTCTTTGTTTAAATTTATTTGAGGGGTGTCTCACACTTTTCCAAAAATGTATTCCTCCTTACTGGAAATAGGTTTGGTGGGTGACGTTTGGTGGGTGACGTTTCGCGCTCAAATTCATTTGCATGGATCTACATAAAAAATCATTTGAGACGTGTTTCACATTTTTTGCAAGATCTAAGCTCCTTCGGTGGAAAGTGGATTTTAAAGTAATTGTTTGAGAATTTTAAGCTGTGTCCGATTTGCATCAAACTTATTTTCAAAGCTCTATATAAGAATATAATGAATACGTGTTTCCGCGGTTTGGGAAATTCCCCTCGAAACAGTGGTAAAATGGCGGAAAACGTTTGTATGAGATTAGTTTGTTTACTGTCCGCTCAGTTTCAAAATCACACATAAGTGCCACGGGCAAGGCCGGGCTATACCCGCTAGTTTATTTATAAAATATGAGAGTATTCAATGGTTCTAGCATATTTCATTAAATATTTCCTATTTTATTACATATTACTTATTTGCGCCTAGCGACGTCGGGGCATTTCTTTTATTATATATACAAGAGAGCTGCACGACTGATTTTAAATATAAAAAGGAAAGCTAATATTTCTTAGTAGGACGCTACAAAATCTGCGTAATTATTTTCCTGTGAAGCTCTCTATAAAGCATGTAAATGTAATAAAATCTTACGTCTGTATATTGCAAAAGATTAAAATAATACTCTGTGAACTAAGATATGCTACGTTATGATCCGAAATCCAGTTGGAATTTGAGTCTTTAGCTGAGTAATTGATTGGCCGAGATATGTTCATATCCATGTGCAATAGAAGTATTGACTGTGCTTAAACATAACTAGAAACATTCACAACGTATAAATCTACATTTTGAACGTGTATAAAGAAGGTATGCAATAAGATTAAAATATGTATATACCTATAAGTATAACATTGTAATTAAATCGCCAAAAAATCACTCTTTGTTTCATTACTCTACATCTGATGCCGAAAATTAAATACCCTTGAAAACATAACAGACTTGTACCAAGTTCTGTAATTAATGAGTAAATTTTAATTATAAAAAAGAAGCAAAGGTACTTTTTACTATTGTAATTTATTATGTAATTTTATTATAAGTAATTTGGGCATTATATATAATAGTATAGAATTCATTTTTATTCACAAATTGGATCAAATGATGTGTTACTTTCGACTTTCGGACTTAAAACAAAATGTGTATTTAGCATGCAAGGATATACTTATTTTAAACTTATACATCTTACCACGCCCTTTCTTTTCTATTATTGACGGTGGTGAGGATCCTTTTCTAATGGAAGTATTTTGACAACAGCATTTCTAACTGGATCCTGTTACTACCGAGGAAACTGTACAATTTATTTTCAAACTAGCCTTGAAATGTGTATGATAATCATTCCAAGCCCTGCAGGCCAGTGCTTCGGGCACGTTTTTGCGGTGAGCTGTAGCTGCTTGCAGGAGACGCGGTAGTCTTTTCCTGGGTACGCTTTAAGCTAGTCGTATTTGCAGCACCTTGCAACTTGGTTGTAGACGGATCTAAGAATTCAATGTAGATATATTTTGCCTTAAAGAAAACTTTATAAATCAATATTTACCTTGTAGCCATCTGACTTGCGTCGCAGGGCCATATCCCTTCTGATTGCGCGCAGCGATTCGGAAGATAATAGCCGGTTTATTGGAGCAGTCAACATGTGCGTTAGAAAGGGATGCATTGGGTACTGTGCATTGGTTTGCCGCCCCAACATAAACGCGAACAAAAGCCAGCTGTGGTGATGCCACCTTGTCTTTCGTAGTGGGCTTTACGGCAAGGTAAACCGAGTACTCAACGATTTCCTTTGTCTTTTGAGCTGGAGGAGGTTCCCAAGTTAAGTGTGCACCCTCCTTAACATCCTTTGATATCTTGATGGCCGACGGGGCGCCAGGGAAACCAGGTAGGCAGGTCTTAAAGCTTGAGATCTAACAAACGCATACAAACAATATCTTAAAAAGAAAGCTCAAAAATTTCACAAAAGCATAAAACAAAATAAAAATAATTCAAAAATATTTTAAACTTGCTTAGCTTGTGATCGTAGAAAAAAAAACAAACCTCCCCCCATTCGCCTCGACCACATGTATTAAGGGCAGCTAGGCGAAAACGATATGCGGTTCCTGGATCCAGACTGATGCGCGGATATTGAGCTAGGTCTGGCAGATTATCACCGTCAAAGTTTTCAAGCTGAGACTCGTTAAAGTACTTATAATCGATATAGCTAGTTACAGTATGTGACAGTTCCTTGAATATGCCCACCGTATGCCACTTATCAGTGTCGTCAACTGTATCAGCAACTGTGACAGGGACCTAAGGTACGAAAAGACAAGCGTAAATGTTGGACTACTAAATTTCAAAACTAGACAGTCAAATTGGAATTACTTACATTGTTGTCATTGCTGTTTTTTTGTTGTTCAGTTGATTTGTAGCTTGTATTGCTAAGATGGGCGGCTGACGAGCTATCAAGTAGGCTCCTTGCTGCCTGACTTGAATCTGCCGATGCGGTAGCCGCTTGCATTACAGCTGCAGAAGCAAGGGCCTCCAAATGCGAGCCGTCTACTATAATATTGAATATAAGAACAAAATAAAAAAAAAATCTCGTATGGAAGTGGAGCTACACTAACCGTTTTGGTGATGATGCTGCCGGAGAACGGGAATCGATAAAGGGTTTTTGTCTAAGTCGGATTCACTTGTAGTTGATATCGCAGTGTCTTTGAAAATACTGCCGCTAATGCCCAAAGCCTCACCTGATTTAATTGTAGTTAATATATTTGCAGCCTCAGTCTCAGATGCCGTTGGCTGATTGCAGTCCGTTGCAGTGGTTGTAACGGCTGCGGGGAAACTAGACTGCAAACAAAAATGAATCGTTTTTAACCAATTTTAAAACAATAATGACATATATATGTTTACATTGGAGTCGATATTCTCGGCTGAGCATGTTCCAATTACGGAATTTCTATCTTTAGTTGCAGTTGATGTTTTCTGCACATCCGTAGTACTACTAACACTAGAAATATCGTCAACAGTCTCTGGAATTTTAATTTCTGTCACTGTATCCTGTGCATCAGACATTATGGTTAACGGTCCAGTGGTAGGCGTTGCCGATTGAACTAATGTTGGTGTTGATGTTGAAGTTGCAGCGGCATTATCATTTTCAATGTTTTCAGGCTCTCGGGCTTCATTTTTAAGCGGCTTTAGTATGTCGTCCGCACCGTCCAGCTGCTCAATAATATCATCGATAGGATCGGTGTCGGCGCAAACTGAATCAGCTATCGTGGCAATTGTAACCGCTGGCTCAACATTGCTGTTGTCCTTCTCCTTTAGCTGCACGGCTGCTGTCTTTACAGGCGCACTTCTGGTAGCCAATGTCAATGTGCGTTGGCCACTTCCAGGACCACTTGCACCACCAGTGTTAAAAATGTTGACAAATCCCTTTCTCGCAGCCGTTGCGCCTGGCAACATTACCAACTTATTTGTGGAACTGGAACCTGGTGAGCCAATCCCGGAACTTGCACTCATTACTGTAACTGGCTTGCCACCAATATACACGGCAGTTTTCTGCGACAGTGACGTTCCAGTGAGTTTCTGGGACGTTACATGGCCTGAGCTTCCAGACATATGTGTAGACGATGATGTTTGCGGCAAGGTCAGAGTAATGGGGCGCCCAGAAGCACCAGGGGTACTCGGTATGTTGCGGACCATTTTAACGCTACTTTGATTGGATATTACAGCACGCTGTCCGCCAACTGCAATAGGCGTAGCCGTTGTCCCTGTCGAACCAACAATGCTCACTATGCTCGTACCGCCTGTTGAACTACCAGCACTGCTCACCACAGAGCTAGACGGCACTGTTCGTAAACTGGCACCAGTGGTAACAATTATAATTTGCTGGTTACCTATCTGAGTGCCGTGCTTGTTGGTGATGACGAAAGCTGGCTTTCCCCCCATCACATTGGGCGTAACTTTGCCCATCTGCAGAATGTTCGAATTCTTCATGATCAATTTGCCGCCGGATACTGTATGAGGTGATACCAGCTTTAAAACATTGCCAGAAACTATTGGTTTTTGCTGGTGCTGCTGCAGCGAAGATTGTTGGTGTGAGCCAGTCGCTCCAGTAGATGTCGCCATTAAATTTTGACCTGTAGCCATTACTGTCTTTGATTGCACACTACTGCCAGACGTTATCTTGTATGAAAAATAAAAAGAAATTAAGCATTTTTAAATCGTACCGGCTTATAATCTTACCTGAATTTGTGTAGAGCCTGGGGTCAGTTGTTGATTACAAATGGAGATGGCCTGGCCCTGGGTAACACTCTTTGCAATATTAAAGTTGACCTTAGGTAACGTCTGCACCGTCATACCTCCACTGCTTGTTTTAACAAACTGCAGCTGTACATTTGGAGCCAGGTTAAGTGGTTTTTGTATGAAATACTGTTTGCCCCCAAGGGACGTAGTAACAGTTGCTGCCGGGGAGGTTGTCTGCGATCCGCCGCTAGATAGCTGCGCGGAGGCGCTGGGCTGAGACGCTTTTAATATTGTTGTGGTGGTTGAACCACTTCCGCTGTTGCTATATGTTGTGGCTAGGCGTAATGTTTGGCCAGCGGTCACGCCAGTACTGGTCGATACACCAGGAAGAATGCGCAAAGCTCCTGTCGATGTCTGGGAGGTGAGAACTATTCCACTGGTCGCTGCAGTGTTTGCTACACGAACGGCAACATTTTGAACACAAATGTCACCCTCGTTTATTTGAGAAGCCGGGGCAGAAGTTGTTGCAGAGGATATGGTTGCAGCCAACGACGTCTTAGAAATGGACGAGTTGGGTCGAAATTTTTGCATATTAGCGCTGCC